ATCAATGGCGGAGCTGATTTGCAACATCCAGCGCCAATGTATGGAAATAATGGAAGCCCGAGATTTTTCAACGGGTCACCGTCGCAGTCTCCGAATTTTCCAAAGTATCAGCAGTTTGGTCAGCACGGACAACAGCAGCTTCAACACCAGCAGCAGCAATATCCTCGCCCAAATGCGCAAATGCAGTATCAGAGTCCTCAGCAACAAAATTCGGATCCGTACTACCAGCAGCAAATTGCAATCCCACCGTCCCATTCCACGCCGCCGCCATCCCAGTCTATGCCCGTCCCACAATATCCTCAAGGATACTCATACGCCACCCAACAATCGAATCATCAGCAGCAGCATCAATTCCAGCAGCAGCAGCAGCAGTTCTACTCAAACTCAGCAGCTGGAAGCCCCCAATCGCAGCCCATCTTTCCCATTTCACCCCCACAGCATCTCATTACCCCTGTACAATCTTCTTTCTCACCAGCTGGAAGCCCATCAAAGCCGTCCGCAATTCAGCAGCAACAGCAGAAAGATCAGCTGGCTGTTGCTGAACGTGAGCGTCGCATTCAGGAACTCCGTACCGCTGTCGCCTCGAAAGTGTCTCATGCTGCGCGGGATTTGGAGGCAAATCTTCTGCGTGACTTTGATCGTATGCGCAGCGGCGTGGGTGTTGCAGTGCAAGAAGGCGAGACACGCGTTCAAAACGTGATTATGCGGTTGAACCAAGAGGAAGCCAAAGTCAAACGAAACTCGGAGATTCTCGCTGCAAAAGTTGTTGAGATGGAGTCCATGATGGACAAGATTGCTAAAGAGCCAGAAGTGGATGTCGATTCAGTTTTGACAAGTGGAACGGCTGTTCACAACCAGTAAGTTTTATTTTACTATTTTTGCATTGCATAAAGTGTGCTGGACGTCTAAGACGGATAATGCTAAAGGTTACTTGACGTCATCGCGGAGGAACACGCGTTGGATGATACTCTCTATTATTTGGCAAAGGCTCTGAACGCCGAAGCGATCGAACTATCTGCTTTCATGAAGGTTCGTTGTTTAATGCCAGTGACCCACTTTGTTTGACGTAGTACTTTTTATTCCGCAACAGCACACTCGCATCGTAGCACGTGAACTTTTCATGAAGAGAGCACTGCTGAAAAAGATTCAACTGCATATTCAACTGAATTCTTGAAAACTGCTGTATATTTCGCTGTGTCTCTTTTTTATACATAAAAAACTCGCTTGATGAAGCCATCTCTGACCCATCAATTGAACCGGAACATAAAACGCCAAGACGAAAAAAAAGAATACCAAGACTTTGCAAACGAAATATTGGAGAAAAGAAACAAGACGTGGCAGGGAAAAAATAACAACAATAACGAGATATGAGAACATAATAAGTTTGGGATTTTACCAAAGGAGCTGCGTCCCACTGACAAACGCCTCGCAAACGTTTCGAACCAATTGGTTCGACCACACCAACTCTGCATCTTCCATGGCAAACAGCGCCAGTTGTTCTGCTGCATCCATGTCCCTCACAAACTTCTCCTCAGACTCATCTGGAACGCTACTTTCGGCACCGGCCCATGAATCATCCATTTCAATCTCAATGGAAGGTGGTCTCTGATGCTGCTCCTCGCCCGTTTCATCCGACACCAAAACAAGACCTGTCTCGTCGGTTTCCGCATCTGTGCCCGCATATTGACTTTTTTCAGTCTCACCTGCACGGGTCCACTCGTCATGATTTCCTGATCCAGAGTTTCCAGCTTCAGCTGTGGAAACCACCACATCTGCGTCGTCACCCCAAGAAGGTCCTACTGGCAAACCAGCCATCATCCCGCCACCAAACCAGCTACTCTCCATCGATGCGGCTGATTCTTCACTGGCACTAGCTATTCTTGAGGAACTGCTTGCCATCCGCCGTTGCGCAATCGGAGATTTGTTCTCGTCTACGACAACTACATTATGCGAGGCTGCCGCTTTTTTTCGTCGAATTGCATCATCGGTGCTCTGTTGATGCATCTTGACAAGACTCCGTGTCTCGCGCTTACGGATTCGGGAATCTCGCCACCGCAGGATGTTCCGCTCTACCAAGCTTTCGGCGAGCGCCATTTTTGGTGCGTCAAGTTTGGAAACGGGCAGCGTTCCGCCACGCATAGTGATGTCGAGAAACAGCTCGCGAAGCTCCTGCTCAGTAGAGAGAAGAGCCGGGTTGGTAAATGTGGTGGGTATTTCTGTGGTTGTGGGGTATGAAGAGGTATCCGCAAACGGATTTGAGGGAAAGGTTGTGCTAGTACGCGGTGTTGCAGACAGAGACGATGTTGAGGATACTGCAGTTGCAGATACAGGTGGTTGGTGGTGCCGAGATACGCGAGAAGGGAGGTGACGCTGAAGGCGTCTGTAAAAGGAGCGTTCACGTCGTGAAATATAGGCTGAAAAAGAATGAAATTTTAGGCGAGAAATAGGAAAATAGGGTAATGAAAGTGTTGCCTTGAACATTGCAGAAGGTGTCTCTGTAGTAGTTGTCCAGCTCAAGAAGGCTTCCGTCAAACGTAGCAACAAAGAGAGCGGCAGATTCTTCAGTAAATTTTCGTGCCGCTTCCTTGATTAATGGGTTCACTTCATTGAGAAGATACGCAATAACAACTTCGTCGTCAACGCTTTCAACAGCGTGTAATTTAAGAGCCCAATCGTATCCGCGCACTAAAGTTGAACAAAATTGTTTAAACAGGTAAACTTTGAACTAAAACGCTTCCATGCTTACATCTTTTGATGCCACCAACCGCACTTTTTTCAGAGGAGCAGAAAATCACGTCCAGAATTCCTTCCACTTCGCACCGCAGAAACCATTCAAAAACTTCGGCGATTCCATCGTATCGATCGGTTAATGCGATGCGTTCCCTGAACAAGAGCTGAACATCGTCCAATACGAGAATAGTTGGCCCGGACTTTGAACGAGCAGCAATGAGACGCAACGCTTGTGCAATGTGATTCAGTGGTTTCATATTGAACGGCTCCTGTTGATTTGGAGTTTCAGAACTTGGTGACAGATCTTCCATCATTAAGTCGGCGCTGAAATAAGTCGACATAAGTGAACAGAAAAACACACGACAAGGCGAAAAACGAACTCACCACAAATCAGCGGGTTCTTCTTTGAAACCCAACGCTTCGTATAAACCTCTCAAAATTGCATCCCGCCGAACAGTTATAACGATCCGTTCCTCCCCTTCCATCTCAGTTTCCGTTTCAGTGAACGTTGAATTGACAATTGTAGCACTGTCTTCATCCTCAAACTCTTCGTCGAACGAGCTTGCGCCATGCTTTTTCCGCAATACTTTTGATAATTGAAGATAAACTGTCGGCCGTTTCAGGCCTTCTTCTGCCAGATAATTCATCAGTGCGGTTCCTTTTCCCAGACCCGGTGGGCCCTCCAACAGCAGAGGCCTTCCTCGTGTTTTTGCAGATTTAAGCTCATCGTTGATGTGCTTAATTTGAGCGTGGAATGGAGGTAGCGGGGTAGACTCTCTGACAGCCAATGAAGACGCGTGGGTGCTGTGGGTGAAACGGACATGATATGAGTTAAGAATAAAAGCGATAAATAGGTAATTACCCCACAGCGGGGCGTCCGCTGGTTCCTGCAAGAGTGTCCTTGAATGCGTTGATTGGGGGATCGAGTGGGTCTGCATCAATCAGCTCGTTCACGATGGCCATGACGGTCGGTTTATGAAGGCCCTTTTGTGCATCTAAATCAGGTCCAAACCCGTTCGCGATGGCATGTTGCAGTAGAAAAGAGTCTGGTTGGGCAGTGTTGACATGGGTGTGTGTGGGAGGGCTTTCCTTTTCCGTTTTGACGCCGGCTTCTTTCTTGACATCTTTGCTCTCTTTCTTGGCGTCCTTATTCGAGTCCGTATCGGCCTCGGCCTGGTTCATACCCATGTCCATATCCATGTCCATGTGCATACGCCGCCGCTGACGCCTAGGCACAACCTCCGCCTTTTCTGCCACCGCACCACTGCCACGGACAATTGCAGCAAGTCCGAATAGCGATGCCACTGCTACAACGCCCACGAGCGACGCCGCAAGGACTAAGCGTCGCTGCTGCTCAGTCATAGTGCTGAGTGGATTTGATGCTGTGAGGGTCGCCAGGGTCTGTCGGATGCCCGGTAGTGAATTCATTGGGAGTGTCCTGTCGTGTCTGTCTTGCTCAGCCTTTTGTCTCTTTTTCGCTTTTGCGCTGACGTGTGTTTTTTTTTCTTCAGTTTCCTTGCTTATATTTGTTCCAATGTCACATCGAACGCCCGATTCGTCCAACCGCGCCCTTGTCTCGCGGTTGCTTCCTTCATTGTGTTTGTTGGTATGTGGTATTTATATCCTGTTGGTGGGACTGCTTTGCCGCCTGTCAGCCATTAGAAATCCCGCTTCTCGAATACCGCCAACGTGTTCGAACAAATCCATCGAACCCACGTCAGCCAAAATGTTCCCAACTTATAAAAAGAGCTTGTCCGCTGTTCCACAATAAAATCAACTGACTACTCAACTGCCAATGAATACTGCTTCCATCGCTCGAAACCTTCACAAAGGCAACCTTCAAAGGCTTGGGACCGGCTTGTCCGCTCGCCGTTTCAATCAAGTCTCCTTCCACAGTACGAATCCACAATCTACCATACACCATGCTGAAAGTGCCCTGAACCATCAGGCAAAAGCCTGGAAACACTGGGAAAGCTTTCACGATGCTTGGCACACCGAAGCTGCTTCTCGTTGGCGGCAAGACCTGCACCAACGCAGACTTGATCGGTACGCATACTACCGTCAGTACCGCCGTCATGGATGTGGAAGCGGGGTTTTTGCGTTCGCTGTGAAGGCAGCAATTTTAGCGTGGACTGCTGGTTGGTTGCTTGACAAATGGAAGGCGGAGGATCAGTCAGTCCTGCGACCAGAAATCAAAGCCGCTGATGTGGAAGCAAAATGATGAAGACATTCGAATTCGCTCTTTAAAAATAAAACCACTTCAAATGATATGTTCTCGCCCGGGATCGAACCGGGGACCACAAGTGTGTTAGACTTGTGTGATAACCACTACACCACGAGAACTTGTCACAATTTTCATAATAAAAACAATTTGATTATACGATCGCAACGACTCTAAATACTCACTTGACGAGCGAAGCGATAGTCTGCCTCATTAGACATGCTCCAAAAAATGGCATAGCGCACAATGATCAGAATATACGAAAGTTCCCACCTGATTGACAGACATTTTGCGAGTGACGTGGGGAGTTTAAAAAATCGTGGGGAGACAAAACCCATGATTGCTTCAATCGTCGTATAAGAAACCCAAGTCCTTTGCCGTTGCCGCCACCAGAAGCTACGTACGCGCATACAACATGGGAATCATCAGTTTCGCGTGCAAAGTTGGAGTGCTCGCTTACGGCATCAATTGGATCATGCAGAAACATAGCAACACCTTGACAGCAGGCCTTGTTATCTCTGGGCGGTCTACTCCGGTATTCGATTGCACGCCATCTCCTAAAGGCGAGGACAAGACTCCCATTATCCATGCCACAGAGCTTGACAACGGGCGCATTGGACTGGAGGTGGACCTTCCAGGCTATTCGAAGGAGAACTTGACGCTGTCGGTCAGCGAGACAGACAAGATGATTTTACTTACGGGTTCGCGGGAAGGAGAGAAGGACCGACGGTTTAAAATCAAGATCGCGCTTCCGTCAACAGCGGACATTCGGGACATTCATGCTGAGATGCACAACGGGGTCCTTCGCGTTGACATCGGCAAGATTGCGTTTGAGGGCTCCAAGATCCTGATAGAATGAAGGAATTGGAGAAAGAATCATAAGGTGGAATTAAATAAACTGTATACGCATAAAATCACCTTCTGGAACAAATTTCTTTTCCTTCAAAAATGAACCACCTCAACTCCCACAGCCAAACGTCTCTCCACTCTACAGCTGTCGCACATGCGCTCCCTTCGCGTCCCATCTCGACAAACAATCTTAATTCGCGCAGGGCGTCTCTCCGTTTTGAAGCAAACCGGCAACACTCCAGGCTGTCAACCCCAGACTCGCCGGACACTAAATCCGCAAAGCTTTGTCCCATATTGCAATCGCTTCCACCTTTGCACTTATCTCCCGCGGCTGTGGAACGCATCAATCGAAGTTGCATGACTTCTGTGCTGTATGTTCCGGGATCTACCCCGGATCCAATTCCGCCCTCACTTGCCCAAATGCCCATTCCAAGGTTTAAAAACATGTAAGTTGTCCGATTCCTGCGTTGAGAACGCGTCCGTTCGATAGAATTAATTGTGTGACCAGAAAATCGAATGCTTGGGCCTCGCGAATGAAGGAAAGGCAGTATGAAATTAATCTTGTTACGAGGCAGATGGAGTGAGTTTGTAGCTTAGCGCCTGAGTTGAAGCTGATGAGCTGAAATGTTTTTGCGTTTTCAGAGTTTACGAACCGCTGCTGGACCCATACCTGTCCGACTACTTTCAAAATACAAATACTCGCAAACATTTAAGAAACCTGGGACTGGTGCGTTTATATCTGGTTGAGGAAAAGTAAATGGGCCTTAATTTAACTTCCTCGATTTTGCACAGATTCGTCCGAACGGAGAAATTATTGACCATCTTGAATTCAAATACGCCCAAATCAAGAAAGACAGGGAGAAAAAGGAAGCACAGCTACAAAAGGAGCGTGAAGATCGAGAACTGGATCGAGAGATTGAGGTATTGTCGTTGCCTCGCATTTCCGCAATCATTGGCTGACTGGGTAAGCTTTTTCAGGTGGCTATTCGGACCAAAATTCGCAAAGAAAACTCGATGCGCCACCAGCAATACCAAAGCATGGGCCGCGTAAGTTTATTCTTTAATTCCAACAAAGGTGTATATGTCGCTCACTTGACTCTTGTTGCGATGTTGGAAGCAAGGGCACCAGAAACCATACCCAGAGTTCCTTGCAGATTATCCTGTTTCAATGTGGGGAACGGTTCTATTGTACGCACAGAAACCTCCGTCCTTGACTCACGTCGGCGGCGTGCGCAGACGCGGCACAAAGTCGGCTCCGCAAAAGCCCCGTCCCGAAAAAAGACCAGACTCCGAAACGCATGCCATTCAAAAGCTATTTTCGAACGCAAAAGAGAGATTTGATTTGGGAGATTTCGCTGCCGTCAAGAATGTATTGCGCGAACTCGTTTCTTCATTGAGTCAACCAGACACCATGGGAAGCCAAGAAGAATTGGAGCATTACGCAACTTCTCAAGCGATTCAAGAGGCAATCGAAAAAGCGGGCATTTCTTTGACTTCGAGCGAGCGTTTACTTCTTGGATACGTCGTGAAACTTGGGGGAAACGTGGAAAAGGTAACCCAGAATGTAACGTCCGATTATTATAATCTTGATGTCCTGTTTCTACTTAGCTTCTTCTGAGGCTTCAAAAATCGCGTCAGTATGGCGATTCAGCTGGTGCAGTAGAATCACTTCCAGCTCTTAAACCAGACCGCCCGCAATCTGCCCGCCCAGCAACACGAGACTCTGATTACCCTCCCATCAGCGAAACCACAAGCAATCTCACAACATCGTCCAGCACTCCACATTTAATAAGGCCTAACTCTGCAAGGAAAACTCGCATTTCCGACTTCAAAGAAGCGAGCGAATTCAGCCTCGGTGACAGATCAGAAAACAATTCTGTGCACTTTGTGCGGCCGCCTTCTGCCAGACCGAATCGATTGGCAGAGTATCCCAATGGTAACAAGTTTAGTAATGATAGCGATGATGAGGATGTAATTGAGTGTCGCGATGGGGACAAGGTGATGTTTTCGGAAGAGCTTTTAAAAAGTGGTTCGGCTGGGTTCATTTCCGCAGCAAAAACCGATTCCTACAGAATGGGTTCGGACTATAAATACGATGAGGACGTTCCGAATACTTCTGCTTTGGATGAAGCGCAGACGCACATCGTTGGACTTGATGGCAAGCACGAGAACGCGGAAGGTGCCGACAACAAAACCAGCGTCAATGCTTTCGGTCCATCTGAATCAGTGGCAAAAGCTTCCCTTGACTCATTGCCCAATAATTGTGGCAGTGTCCTTGAAGGAAATTCTTCAAACGACAGCAAAGTCGGCAGAGATAGAGCACATGTAAATGAGTCGGAACGGGCATCGGTCTCAAGTCTGCGTAAGAGCAAATCGTCCAACAGCGGTTCTCTTAAGACTTCAACGACGCGCCTGGGTTCTGCGTTGCCGCATGTGACGCCACAGACGGATTCTCTCCCCGCAATTACGCAGAACTCAAAATCTTCAGATCATAATCACCTTGATCAAAACAAGAGCTTGAACTCTGAAGAAAATTTGGAAATTGCTGAAAACATCGAATCGACGCACTTTGATGGCGAACCTGAACCGGGAGACCAAAACAGTATCCAACCAGCCGATTCGAACCAAACAAACAACGGAGAGGTTAATCATGAAGCCGGCGAGGAGGGTGAAAACTTTCATTCTTTCACCAATCAAGACTCCGAGGGCCCAGCCCACAGGCCGGATTCGCAGGATGTCAAAGAGTCGATTCAGTCAGGATCTTCATTTCTAACAAATCAGGACTTGGATACTATCTTGAGGCAGTCGAATGATTCTTTTATGATTGCAGAAAACGCAGTTGGGGTACGCCTTGGTTCCAGAAGTGATATTCGAACGGACAGTACAGGAGGAAAACCGCTGGAGTTTGAACTAATTGATGGTGAGCGCTCGCATCTTTTTCATGGAGTAAATCTAAACAACCCTCTCTTGACACAGAAAACCGCGCATCACAGGAGATTGAACATAAATCAAAATCCAAAACAAACTCGAACGAGTCAGTTGGAAGCCATAGAAAGCTGCCCGTTAAATCAGCACTGAAGAAGAGTCGCGACCCGCTGAATGATTCAACGAAAAGCACGGAAACGCTACCAACAGGATCGCACTATGTTCTGAACTCCACCAGCTCATTACAAGTAAGATCAAAAACTAGTTCCCGCTCTTCGCTGAGCCGACGCGTAGCAGAGGGAGAGGAAAGCCCGCTTGACAGTCGTGAAACAATCAACGAGTATGCTTCCCAAGAACTTTATTCATCTTCAAGAACTTCTTTATCGGACAACCCTTTTCCTACCGAGGAATATTCTCCGCCAGACTTGACAGACACGATGTCCATTTCGAGCAGCAAGAAAAGTTCAATATGGGAGGGCATATTCAAGTTCGCCAATAAAAGCGCGTAGTTTGGTTAATCAGAAAGTTGTTCCAGAAGTATCCGAATAAATAAATCGGTGACGTTGAAGCTGATTGGAGGATGCCCCCCAGTTGCGATTGATGTCCCCCTCCCATTGTCAAATATTCCAACAAATCTTGTTTCGAAACAAAGGAGCAACTTCGACAATGTCATCATCAAATCCAAGTGCGCCGCCTACCAATATCAACTACCACAGCGGCGGTGGTGGGGGTGTCCTGTTAAGCAGCCTCGAATGCCCCAGCGAACGTATCGCGAACCCGTCCTTGCTCTCGACAGACTCGCTCTCTGGCAGCGAAAGTGACAACGCCCTGGACGAGTTTGACTCGGACGACGCCGGGTCGGGTGAAGAAACTGATGGCTCTGATGTATCGGCTGGCGATAAAAAGAAGGAGCAGGAAGACGCCGAGCAGCGACAGGCTGACCTGAGGAGGCAGATCGTTGCCATCCAGAGGGACACGACTGTCAATGCTCAGGATAAAGCAAAGCGGATTCAGGTATCGAATATTTGAATCAATTGTTGTGACGACTTGGCTGAGGTGGCTAATTGAATTCTCCAGGAACTCATGACCAGTCAGTGGTCGTCGCGTCAGCGGAGGGCAAGCAGTCGCTCCGTGCTTGCTAGTAACAGACTAGAAGAGAAAATGACGGATTTTGGGACGATAACGGCAGCAGATCAAGTCATTTCTTTTCACGTGAGCCACAAATCATTTCAACCCAAAGCAAGTTACTAACACACACACGTGTTATCCTGCCGCAGGATAAAGAGCGTACAATTATCGGTTGCAAGCACTATCAACGGTCCTGCAAGCTGCAGGCGCATTGTTGCGG